GACAAGCGATTCATCGAAGTACGGGAGAAAAGCGATAAGCTAGACGAAGACCTCGCCCAAGTAGAGAAGGTCGTGGCCCGCGTCGTGCGCCGCGAAACTGATCTAGAAGCCGATCTGCGCGACCTGACGGAGCAGTTTCAGAAGCTCATTACTTTGGAACCTGGGGTAGAGACTGCTGTTCACGGTTTCGCCGCCAGTGTCGAGGACTCCGCGGCTGGGCTAAAGGAATTGCGCAAGCATACGGATCAAGACTATCTAGGCAGCTTACGAGATATGCAGGCATATAGCATTGCGCTCAAGAATCTCCTCAAAGCACGGGAGCAGAAGCAGCTGGATCATGAACAACTCACCGAGTACCTCAACAAATCAACAATGGACCGTGATTCATTGGCCTCGGGCCACGGGAGTTCAGGTGCCCTAGGTGGCGCTGGCGGGTTTATTCGATCCAAGATTGAGGATGTCCGTGGCGTAGATCACGAAGCGAGCCGGCGGGAGCGGCAGCGCAAACTGGAGATTCGTATCGATGAGCTGACAACAGAAGTTGAACGTGCAAAGAAGACATCCGAAATGTTCGATGAGGAAGTTGTCAAGGAGGTGGTCGATTTTGAACGAATCAAACGCATCGAGCTCAAAGAGCAATTCAGTGCGCTCGCTGATGCCCACGTCGACTTCTATGGAACCGTTATCGACGTATGGGAGAAGTACATTCGCGACATGGAAAAGGAAGGTATGAAGCCACCAACATCTGCTATTGGGAGTTCTTGATACATACCGGATCCCCGGGAAGGGATTGGACTGAAAGCATGGCATGATTGTTGGTGTTGGGCGGCGTTGCACCGGATGCGCTTATGAATCTCTTTTTTGCTCAACCAGTTTGCGGTTTGGAGTGGCGTAGCATCGAATCATACCAAGGAATTCAGTATTCTCATGATAACCGAAAAAATGTGAATTATAAGAAACGCTATACATGTATGAGCGGGCTCTTCACTGAGAATTGAAGATTATGCGTTCTCATGACTACTCGTATGGGATACGGCCCAGCTTTCAATGACACTCGTAGGTATCTAGTGACCGGCAATGTGGTTGGTTTCTGGGGGGCTGTTCACTTCATCTTGATTACTTTCCGCCAGCACACACGGCTTCGCTTCAATCCGCTTTTGCCATTTCGTAGCTCTAGAATTCATGTTATGCTCCAATCACACGTCAGAAAGTACTAATCTTCCTGCATTTGAATTTAAAGATGTTACTTAGACATAACGATGCTGTGAACTCGGGCAATTCCCACTCCCTATTCCAGCGCCTGCAAATGGCAGATGATCAAAGAAAGACTCTTCCCCGTGCTCGTTTTTTTCCCTTTCTTCACATCTTCCCTTTATGTTCCCAGACTATGGGATAAGTCCCCCCTTTGTTCCTACCAAGCATTCAACCCTCACGTTTCCGGCTCGAGTCCCGTCTACTTTGTCGTATTCAATGGCCTCGTAGTCTGAATGGATACCGCCTCAAGTATTTTTATTTTCATTTTTATTCTGCAATTTGCGGAGTTAGTTCTGCGAATTGGTATTCGACGGAAATCATACCAGTGTCCTAACCTCAGCACCGGATATCCCCTAAGTATCCCGCCTCCTTGATCAGACCATTTTTTTATCCCATCATGTCCTCGAGACCCCCCCGCCGCCGCCGTCGCCTCGAGAGGGCGGTACAATTTGTGCCCAGACCTTTAAGCCCCTGGGCGCAGCGTTTTGGATATAACAGGCAGGGTAGAGAACCCATCCTCGATGATTTCGAAATCCACTCGAATTTGGCGCCAATATGGCCAAGGATGCATCCTCTGTACTATAGCAACCCCCCAAATGACAATAGTCGCCCTGTGACCATGCGGGACATAGATACTGTCTTCGCTACTGAGGCGTCACAGGAACAAACGCTCCAAGGCCTACGATCGTGGGAGGTCGGCCCGTTGATGCAACACGTCAGGTTCTCGAACCAGTCGGGCCTTATACCCGGCGGGCATCAGACAGCCGGCGATGGTGCTTTCGACAACGCCGCTAATGAGAAAGCCCGTAGAGACGCTTTGAAAGTATTCCACGCGGAGCGGATCCAGGTCGACGAGAGCACGTGGTTCAAATTCTTGCGGAAAGACAGGTGGCTCAACACAGTCGGGCTCAAATACGCCTCCAGAGAGGATTGGAGCGTGGACATCCCCAAGATCTGGGAAGTGCTGAGCATCATCTTGGAACTCGCGAATCGAATTTTCAGGGCTCTGGTGGCTGAGAAACACACAATGTAGGTAGCGACCCTCGCGGTAATCGACGAGACTGAACCCAGCTGACGACGAAATCCCCGAGTCTTGAAACCGTGCTGTACGGTCTGTTTGCAGATTGGGACCAGATAGTACAGGACCCGGCGCCCATGCCGGCCCCCAAGTTTCTCCTTTCACGGCAATTTGTTGCGGCAGTCAACGCGCGGGAGACCCCCAACGACCCCTCTCCGCTCGATTTTGTCGCCAACTTCACGCCGCAGGATTGGGAGAACCGGCTTGAGGACCTCCTGCAGACCCACGGCTGGTCCTTTGTGGATAAATTTAAAACTGATACCGAGATCTGGGGCGTGAACATAGACCGGATCAATTGTACCTTGCTAGATATCGCGCCGCTGAAACGCCTGATGGGGAACCAGATCACATTGGCAGAGCGGTGCTTCTTGTTCTACGTTGGGGCGACGACGGTATTCTACTACTCCTCATTGCCCCACCCTTCTTCGGGATATCTTTCCCAGAACTGACTTTGTAGGCTATAGGTAGTACATGAACTATTTCACGCGATCTGGGCGACGCGGCGCATGGGCCAGAGTCGGTTGCCACCAGGGTTTCCGAGGATAGATTGGACACGTAGGGCTGGCGATCTCGATGACGAGGAGCCGGTGAGTTGAGAACTCCCGCCCGCTTGAATCGATCTTAAATACCTCTTTGTTTCGCGTAAAGGGACCTTGGTCACTAACGTTTAGCAGATGGTCGATTATGAAGGCGACTGGGAGATAGGGTTCGCCGCCGAAACACGAATCTTCGGCGGCGTCTTACAGCTGGGCCGTAAGTCTACCTACCTACATCTCTCATGTCCTCGACTTCTCCGTTCTGTCTCTTTTGCCGCACATGTGGACGGTCTATCAACTAGATGACTTAGGCGACGCATTCTGCTGACATCCTAGCCAGCCAGCCGGGTAGATGACCTGCCTCTGGGCGCTTTTGTGGGTAACCCCCGAAGTGATGTTTTATTTCTTTGCAGCCACGACCAGAATCATAAGTCTTTCGTCTTGAAATGGCGGTCGCTCATGCTCATAGTGTAGAGTGCGGATTGGCCACGACCCTACAACCAACCGTCTGCTCTTGAAGGGTATTATCATCCCGCGTTCGACCCACAGAAGGGTTTACGCCATACTCGGGTCACTTCACTCCATGTCTCGAAGATGCTGTCAGCGGCGTTTTGGGACGACCCGGCCATCCCCAACAAGACCGCGAATTACTTCCACCATAACCAGATATTCATCAACAACACAATCTGGGGAGGCCGCGCTAGGTTCAGGTACAATCTGGTTACCCTCGCCGATACGAACGGGATGAATCTGCTGCCCGGGGAGCAAGAGATGATCGATACCTGGAACGATACACACTACACCGTTAGCAGAAGGCGTGCAGCCTGGGGTTATGAACGGCACAGGGATACGTGGGCGGATTCAGCGGTGCGTTGATATGACTCTGCGTGCTTGAAGCATGGAATACATCAGCGGAATGACTGGCTAACTATTGGGAAAACCCTCTGATAGTGGAATTTAATTGGTGATAGGCGCGACATCCTTTCGTTTGCGCGGGCCTTCCTCCGGCGGGATGCAGTAGAGTGCCGGGCCTTGTCAGACACCATGGTTCACTCGGTCTCCTGGACTTCGGATCGCGACGTGTACACTAGAGATATTCCGCCGCTTTCGAGGGAAGAACCGTATAGATGGCTTTACCATGCCCTAGGTATGTCTGGGCCGCTGTCAGCCTATATTGCTCTCCTCACTTTTCCTCGTCGTCACCATTAACCAAAAGAATCGTCTCGTTACGTAGGTCTCCTCATGTTCGCCGCGATGCCCATCTTTGAGGATCCAGTCGACGACAGCAGGGAAATTATGATTGAGTATCGGTTCGAACCTAGTAGAACATGCACCCTCCCGGCCCAGAGAACAGAATTCACACTGACAGTCAAAGAAAACCGCAAAGCACCCGAAAGTCGGATGTTCGATCCCTTAAAGCGGCCCAATGTCAAGCCAATCAATGATTTCGACCAGGACGATTACCTTGACCTTGTGACCAGCCTAGTCGATTACATGGGGCAGCAGCACGTCCTTGTCGAGACGACGTGGCTGAACGAGATCTTGAGGATGGTCGACAACCTGCGGCGGAAGCGCGCGGATATCAAGAGGCAATACGGCAACGTGCTTGCCAAGGAGAGATGGGTCTCGTCGTGGGATTTCGAGATGCCGGAGTACAACCAGACATTCTCGAGGTATTGGGCTGGCAGATGGGCCGTCTTGAGGTAAACAGACACATACGGAATACAGTCTGTACTCACTAGATTAGGTACCTAGGCATATCCGCACTCCCAAAAGCAGCCTCTGCAAAGTGGCTTGCTGTTCTGGCCAACCCAATGAAGTAGGTACCTAGTCAGAGGAGGCTATGGACGGAAAAGAGTGATCGATTCTTGATAACCTTTCTTATGGGCGTAGCGAAGGACGTCAAAAAAGCCTGTTCACTCGCTCTCTCGATGGATACATTGAAGTAAAATGTTACGAGCCGCTAAAACGTCAAACCTCACTGCAAGCCCACTATAAATTCACCGTAGATCATTTAGCGGCTCATAGCTTTTAATCGGTAATCTTCAGGGTGATATTCCGAACCGATAAGGCAGGCTTACTAAGTAACATCCAAGAAAGAGCCCAAAAACAAAAAAACATAGAAAAAACTGGGGCTCAACCGGGATTCGAACCCGGGGCCTCTCGCAAATTCGAGTCATAACCCAAAGCGAGAATCATACCACTAGACCATTGAGCCGGTGATGCGACACTGTATAGCCGGTAGTATCACTAAGCATCTCTAAATCGCCGGCCTCACAAGATGCTAACGCAGAAATATTGTTCGTAGAGTCCATTAAAACCGGAAAGCAGGCGGGCCGGCGGAAAGAGAACATCATTGTCCATTTTTATGAGTAAGTTGGAGAAAAGTGCAGGGGGTGGGCTAAAAGGGGAAACTGTCACAACTCTTCACACGATCGAGACTCGGGTACGTCCAAATGCGTGTATAACATGGTACCCAAACGGTCTCGGGAAAAAGGAACAAAAAAAGAAAAGATCAGAATGGATCAGAGTAGACGCCAGCTTTGGTTATATAATATATACACAAGAACGGTAATCCATCATAATCGATCGTAAAGCATTCTGGTCTTCTCTCCTCAATCCGTGCCTGGTGCTCTCTTTCTCCCGCGACTGAAAAGTGGCGCTATTTCCCTCCGTATAGCCCCCTCCCTTCTTCTAGGGAGGGAGGATGTGACCCTCGTTTCAAAGACAGTCTCGAAATGTTAATGGTACATGAATTTACCACCCGGTTAGAAAATTAGGTCGTTGAAAGCAGGAACAAAGGAAAGTCAGGAAATCCCCCGGTCATTCAACTTGCATAGCACCATCCTCTTCAAAAAATCACCCACTCGTAGCTTTCCAACCCGCGCGTCTCCGGCTTTTTAAAAAAGATTCCCGTAGATATCCCCCAGACGGTACTGTTCGGCGGGAATCATAGCACCGCCAAACTTATGTAGGCCCCCGTTGACGTCCGTACCCGCCTAAGTCTCCCCTTTCTCTTCCCAAGGCAATACCGGTCGACAAATAATAATGGTACAGGGTGCGATGAACAAAATCCAAATAATCGGGAACATGAGATAAACTCACGACGGGAAAAGATCCAGAACACCGCAATGTGGCACTTGGTATCAGCGATATGCCCAGCCTAGGAAACAATGAAACAACCATGTTCGTCAGGTGTTTCCAGAAATAACAAAACAGAGAGGAAAACAGAGAGTAAGCAGCATAAAGAGATTCATTAGATCGCCCGCCAATCCTATGGATGGCGGTGATGGAGGCATTCATAGATAATGAGTCGAGAGCCCAAAAGCGATAGTTGAGATGAGGGACGACATCACGGCAAAAGAAAGACAAGCATTCGAGTGGGCGCCTAGAAGTGGCGATTACTCCGTGGTGTGTTCCTGGACGGTTCATGTCAGTAAAGGGAAAATGGAGGAAGGTCGCAAAAGGGGAGCACTTACGAAGCACTGGAGATGTCATCCACATGATTACACAAGGCCACGAAGAGGTCAAAGAAAAGCTGCGTCCCACCATTATACATCTCCAGCTGCATGGTACCGCTGCGTTTGAAGGTGCTGCGACTGCGGATGATGAGGGCGAGGTAATGTGCTCGTAATTTGGAGTCGGTGTCAGGCGTATTGGCATATGCGTAGCGTGCCGATGCCAATATAGTACTACACTGGATGCCGGACTCTGTCCGCCAACATCATCAGCATACGCCCCGATAAACAACAGGAACATGCAAGGGTGGTAACTTACGAAGGCCCTGCTTTCGCAATGCAATGCGCTTTAATTCTTCAAGCCCATACTTCTCAGCCGTGCAGTAGACAACAGTGTCCTTGAGGATATCTCCATCAATAGAATGATGGTAGACTGTAGCCTCATTGCTAGCGCCGCGCTCCTCGTTGGGTTTCTCAATCTCCCACGAGTTGCGGCGCTTGTTGTGGATCAGTCGAGGATAATAGTCGCCCTTGTAGAGGTACTCAAGGACGGATGAGAATATCTCCGGCTCATCGTCCGGCAGGTAGATTCGTTTGCCATTCTGCGGATCCAAATATATATCTGACAGAGCCTGTTGGAACCACGGCGATGCACAAAGCACGTCTTGGTGTGCAGCAAAGATTCGCTGGTCCCGACCGATAATGAGAGTCACAATAGACGAGGTCAAACTCCTGCACACAGAGACCAATGTTAGAATGAGAATGGTGAGAAGGAAAGAAAATAAAGGAATATTCTATTACCTGTCGATTGACATGGCCGTGGGCATATGTTGAGACATGGATGTCGTCAAGCGACGACGGGGGTCATGTCGACTCTTGGAAACACCATGATGTTTATTGGTGAAAGACGAATTCGACTTGCTGGATTTGTGATTCTTCAAGAAGCTACTCGACGGTTGGTCGGGACGTTTGCTATGCATACTGAAGTGGTGATGTGTATACGTATGCGACGTCGATGTGCGAGAGTAAGTGAGTATTAAGCCGACAGATACCCGGAGTTCGAAGATGTCAAGGAATGTCTTGGTCGCGAATGGCTACCAGCAGCAGCTTGGGGTCATAAATACCAAGTCCGGGCGCCGGTACTCTATCGACGCAGCAGATTAGTCGATTGCGGACGTGATAGGGAACTAATGAAAAAGAAAGACAACGTGAATTGAGAACGACGAGAAAGCACGGTGAATTCTGCCTACCCGCTGAAACCCCCTTGGCGTAAGTAGAAGAGGAGAAAATTTGGGTGGAGGGGGGCTCCCTCATTATATAGTGCACGACCCATGTCAGAAAGACTGCTAAGAAAAGACAGCCGGTTATCTTCAGGCAAACACGGTCGGCTGGCGATGGAGGTTGGTCCTCGCGTCTGGGCTGTCTGAGCTGGACGGGAGACTGGCACGATGTCACCTGACTCCTTAGATAGCTGACTCGGTCTGTATCGGGATTAGCGTCAACCACGCTACAAGCCGCTGTACTCAGTAAGGCCGCTGTAAGACGAGCCCACAGCGAGTTATTCTGTGCTTATACTGAGATAATGGCGCCATGCTACGGTTAATTCGATAACTAGATTCTGCACTTACCAAGTAAGGTAGGTACTCCATGCACAGTACAGACACGGTAAGCAGGCATCAACTGCTGCCACAGGCAGAGGCTTGTCTCTGCCGATCTTGCTGAAAACGGCGCCTGCGTGGAGGCTGTGATACCCACCGGATACCGGTGTCTCTACTGTGTGCATATGGCACTTTACATACTGTACCTGGTACATTACCGCCGCCATCGACTTGCCCTATGATTCTTGCTCATAACGCAACAATTCACAGCATCACTCGACGCAGGCTCCCGCAAGCCACGCTCAGCAACGCCCCTACAAAGCGCAGAGAACTCCTCAATGGAAAAGCACCATTTGTTTCTCGAGTAAAGAGACACACAAGTAAAGACGCGTCGAAAATCTGGCGAGAGACGATCAGGAGCGTCTGCACTTCCCCGTGACAGCCCCGTTGAATTGCCATAGAGGACAGGCAGTTTCGCCTCCCTTCCATCTCACGTTCAATACCTCGCAGCATCACCAAAGAGATACGGATCTTTATATCAAGCCTAATCTCGTGTTTCATTGCCAGCCGTCGATAATACGTGACTAGCTGTATTCTGTGATGAACGGTATAGCTTCCATATCCTTATTCCTAACTCCCCCGATCTTTATAATACCTAATCCATAGACCACGGTACGTCTGTAGCTTTTCCACTTAAAGAAAAATAATAATAATAATGACGCCTACAAATGGCACAGAGATTAGAACAGGGGCGAGAACCGGGCTGTCAGGGGATTGATTGTGCGTGCTTACCTCGCTATTCCGCGTCACTGGAGACCTAATAACGCGGCCACGTTGTAACGATAAGAAGATCTAGTGATGCCGGGCGGATCGGCAAAGTAACGACGCTATGCGGGTGTTGCTGAACCGTGAGGACCGAAGATCTCAAAGTTGGCCGCGCACGCCGTAGTAAGCCGCTGAGCCGGCAGCTCGGTGCGTTCGCGCCATGGGATCTGCCCATTGTCGAGCCAGCCCACAACCACGGCGGCCTTGGACTTGCCTACGGCCTTAGCAGCCCCGACTTCGTCGTCGTATTTGTCGAAATCGACAGGGCTCTCGTGATAGGGGTCATTGTACCGCTGATGGGCCCAGTCCGTCGACTGGTTCCTCGCACGCCACCGCCGGTGCCAGTGGCAGTAGTCTCTGCTGCTCTACATCAGAGATACCTTGACGGTATGGCACCGCGAGTCCGCTCGACCGTATTCGCATTCCTCTAGGCGGTGCTGTAGCTCGCATGGGCATTCCGGGAAGCGGACGTAGATTCGCCGGCACATATTCTCGTCGCACCAGGTGACTGTGAACGCTGAGGGAGAGATGGCGTTGTCGGGTTTATGGGAATAGGGTAAGGTCGATAAAATTTCTGCCGACAATGATCTGCTACCAGGTCAGCAAAGGGTGAAATACTAAGTATCGTGATGCAGAATACCGATGTCAGGGGTTTCTTACGCTCATAAGCCTATGGAAATGTGGTGAGAGTGTCCAAACTCAGTGTCGCAATGGCCGGTGTATGAGATCCAGAGCTGGTGTGTTCAATACTATGCTCGGATCCGAGGGAGAGCGTTAGGAAATATGACGATGAGCCCTGTCCAAAAGTCAAGTTCGCAGCATCTACTCACCAAATGTGGGTATGTGTGTGAGTCACTGGTGGATAGGCTTTATGAGTTGTGGCCAGTTAGGGCGGAAGGTAGAGCCAATGGACAGAGCTGTGATTCGTATATGGTCTGGAAACATGTTCATGAACAAGTGGTGCAGGATTTTTTTTCCCACCTGCCACTGGCACCTTGCCTCAAGTCCGAGACAAGTCTCGTACAAAACCAGTGAGACCGTCCCAGCCCCGGGCAAATGGTGTCTTTTCGTCCCACCTTTGCCTTCGCCAGCCGGGCACCTTGATGTACCGACTCTCACATCCCACACTACTCGTTCAGTTCAATTCCCCTCCCTGATAGGTACTGGCCCCTGCACAAGGTATGTCACGGGCCATGGTCGAATTATCTACTGACCTGACGGCCAACATGCAAACAACCTCGGCCTCGTCACACACCTAGGCTAGCTCTGTTTGAGAGGTGCCCGGAAAGAGGCTCTATTGACTCCCGGGTGTACAGAAGCACGTGAATTCTGTTTGC